TTATTAAATAGTGAAACTGCTCGAATGTTAAATAACATGTTAGCTCAAAAGACATTTACAATGCATAGAAGTTTATAAAAAGAATTCTCTGGAGAATTTCTCATATTATAAATGAATTACTAATAGCGATGAGCAACACACAGGGAAGACCAGAACAGTATGAAGTACTGAGGGTAAAATGAGGTACAAAATTACTTTTCCGCAAATTCTCAAGTTTTTTCTCCTAATTTTTTTTTTTAGCTATAACAGTTTGAGAAACTGTAATTAAGAACTTCGAATTAAACATAGTTTCTTAGTGTTCACATATTACCTCAATCTCCCCTATATTTTAATGATTTAATAAATCTAAAATGTCATGTCTTAATTATTTTAATAATAAAAAACATAAACCATTTTTTTTTTTTTTAAATAGGGAAAGGAAGGGTAAAGTGGAACGTGGAGGCAAAGTGAAACACTCGAGAAAATGTATTAATTTATGAAAATAAGTTTAAAAACGCCTATTGCATTTTTTGTTCATCAATTTTCCAATTTGCTCATGCATTGAAAATTATTAACATTTGTTAATATAATAATGAATTTGTTGATTTACGTTTTTTCCTGGTGTTCCACTCTACCCCACCTTTCCCTATATTATATACTAAATTATAATTGTATTGATAGAGATATTTAGTCTTTAGTTATTGCTAAAATATAAGCAGCCAGCCTTCAATTTTATTTTCAACATTTGTAATCGTAATTTTAAATGACTTATCAGATATGAACGATATTAATAAATTAATAATCGTGTATTCATATTTTCTTGTCAAGTTAATTCATTAAGAAATTAATGTAAAGCTTTGTAGTTAAGCAATCTGATTGAAATAGTCGTTAACAGGAAAATTTTTTTATTTATCGAAAAAAAAAATGGATCTGGGCTTATATTAGTTTGTGCCTTGATAACGAACTTCCCATCGATTAAAATCCGTAATTTTGTCATCTTTTATTTTTTTTTTTATAACAAATTGCTATTGTTATAAACGATATATAATTGTCTAATCACATAAAGTTATTTATAACAATATTTTATAGATATTTTTCGAATATAATCATAGTCACAATAATTCAATAAATTAAAACCATTTTTCATTGTTTATAACAATTGAAATAGTTATAAACAATATATGATTGTTTAGAGCAATGTCAAGTCATCAACAACCATATTTTATTGACCTCAGTTGTGAACAATATTAGTCACTCAATAAGTAGAATCTATTTCAAATGTTTTCTTTACTCAACTTATTTGACACTCTTTTTGTTTTATAAAAAAAAAACGACTAAACCGAATCTTTTCAAACTCCTTTCAGATTTTCTTCATTGTATTTTCTTTACAATGAAATTTGTCCGGAGTCGATATCTTCAATGGTTCTCGAAATATTAAAACGAAAAAAAAACGGACATAAGTACGGACAATTGTACATACGTACACACATTCATTTTTAAACCTTCTAATATGCTTTTGAATGTCTCAAAACGTAAAAATATGATAAAAGTACGAATTTCAAAAATTAACTCCATTACAATAAGTATCTAATGGAAAGTTAAAAATTGAATAAAAAACTAATAACAAATTTAATATTCTAGAAAATGTTAATTATTATATATTATGTATAAAAAAAATTCATACCTCACCCAACTAGAAAAAAGCTATCCAGAAGACATCTTTTGTCATAAGATATGTGCTTGTTCAAGCATACATGAATTATTTATATTTATATTGGATCAGTTTTTTTTATACTAGATTTATACTTCTAATAAGATTAGTCTTTGTTCAAAGTTATGCAAATGGTAAATTATGCAAGTGACAAAAAAAATTAATTAGTTTTCTTATTTTGGCGATTTAAATTGCCAAAATACTATACTAAGAATATACGAATATATATGCAGTATATACGAATGTACATGCAGTATTCTTTAAATTGATACATTCGAGGTAAGTTATAAATATGATACATTTAATACAATAGTATTATTAATAGAAGTAAAAATTATTTTTTATACAAGTATTTTATACTCTGAATAGTAGAAAACAATAAACTCGATATAAATAAAAAATATACTGTAGGTCAATATTCAGTAATCTATTTTCAAGAAAGTAATATTTTTAAAAAAGATAAAATATAGTTTCCATTTGAACAATAGGTATATTGTTTAAATAAAATCGTAAACTTGTTTTTTAAAAAAAATAATCTTAACACAAATAAAAAATGTACTCAATGTAAGTAAAAAAATTGATTGAAATATAAAACCAGTAAAGTTTATTTAAATGAAGTAACTGATGCATTTGCAGCAAGTGAAAAATAATTGCTGAATAATTTATAAATTTATTTAATACAAGTAATCAGTATTTTAAATTGAAGCAAAAAAAATTATTAAAGCAAAGTAGTCAATACACTCGATTCATGTAAACAGTATACTTGTGGTAAAAAAATTAATATTTTTGCTACAAGTAAATGATATAACTGTAAAATTCTAGTATATAATAAGTTTAATATAAGTACAAATTTTTAATTTCATGTGTAAATAATAATCGAGTCTTTCGTAAACGATATTTTTCGTATTAACAACTTTTATACATAACACAATTAAATAGTCTCTTAAAATCTTATAAACATTATTCAAAAAATATGTCACTTTTCCACTTGAGATAAGTAAATCATATTTATGGAACAAAAAAACCACATTATCGACTGAAGTAAACATTTTATTTATGTAGAATCATTTTTTATTTTTGGGAACAGAAAATTTTTTACAAAAGTACAATCAACGATGTTTTTAATATAAGTAAACAAATATTTGGACTTTAAGCAACAAAAATTTAAGATGTTAGTAATTTGCATACTTGCAGCTAGTTTATTATAAAAATAATACAAATTTGTTAACCGTTATACCTACAAGCAGTAAATAGTATAATTGAATATTTTGAGCTATTCAGTTTACTGAATCCAAGTATACTTTATACTTGGACTAAGTATATAGATTATTCACTAACAAGTTTTTATGTACTTGATATTTGTATTATTGGCACTGAAAAATTGCTTGTAGTTTACTGATGAAAGTACTTATTTTTAACTTATTAACAAGTAAATATTATATTTATTGCCTAAACTAAAATTTACTTATTCCGAGTAAAATATCTACATGTCCATCGCTTCTTTTTTACCGGTCATCTTTATACTTGAGTTCAGTAAACTGTATATTATTATGGCGCTGATTCCTTCTATCAGTGTACTGATTGTTAAGGCTAGGCTGAAGTCAGAGAGGCGACTGATTCCCCTTATCCAAATACATGGGATCGGGATATTTCTAATTTCTTCGCCAATTTACTATTATTTCTATAAAATTAGGTACCAAATTACAGAGGAATTAATGCCGGACTGACGTAAACAACAATTTTTTGTATATAGTGAATATTTTTATCAAAAAAATTAGAAAGAATAATGAAAAAATTATGAATTGACTTGCCGCGCTTAAATTCCAAGATGGCGGCCACATCATTCAAATAAAAAATCACTAATTATTTCATTTTCATACGTTTTTCGCCCAAAATTCGTGTTTGCGTCAGTCCTTGCCACCTGTCTGAATGTTAAAAAAATCAATTCATAGTATAAAATTGAATAATTTAGAAATAATTAGAAATATTGTATTCCAGATGATATTCTCCGGAAAATAAGTTTGAAAAAATTCCGATAGGTGACAGCATTATGCTCGTAGATGACCTCAGTCATCCATATTGAAAAAATGCTCAATCCGTATCCAGAACTGATGGTGCCCTGCATTTTGGTAAGTAATTTGTGTATGAGTGTGTACGTCTAATATATGTATGTCATGTAAACATAGTGTATCACTTCACAATGCCTTATACTTTGATAACTATTGCAGTTAGAATAAATAAAAATGATGATACTCATTTAACATTAATTAATATAATATCTGCAAACAACTTCAAATACATATATTCATCCATTATTATCATTTTTATTAGGTATAAATGTTAATAAAGAAGCTCAATTCCAAGTCGGCGTATCCAAGCATGTAGTGTAAAAACAAATACACATAAACACAATACCGAGATTATGCTGGCCATGTGGTTAGAGCGTCAGAGGTCTATTTTGCCGGGCAGGGTTCGATCCCAGTCATAATCACTTTATTTTCTACTTTATTCGCTAGATTAGCATGTAATTATAATATTGACATGCCATAATTAATCCTTTATAACGATTTGATTTTTTTTTTCTCTTTACTCATTGAATTTATCGACGCTAAGTCGGAAAATATTTAAACAGAGCCATAAACTTTTTTTTTGTATAAATACATTGATAAGCCTGTGTTTAACAACTTATACATCTTTACATGTATTAACAATGTTATGTTATTAACATGTTATTAACAAGTTAATCATATTGTTATTAACATTGAAAAGTAGTTTAAACAATCTGTGTCACTTTTCCGGCAAGCTCTACCCCTACTCTCTGTGCCCAAGCCTGCAGCTTATAATTTTTAAGCATACATGAGCGTACTGAAACCATAACAGCTCAGTGGTTACAGCATCGGTCTTTTATTTTGCTAGGCAGGGTTCGATTCCAGTCATGATAAAGTTTTTTTTTTCTCTTTTATTTGTTAGATTTGCATGTAATTATAATATTAACATGCTAAAATGAATTCTTACCAACGATTTGATTTTTTTTTCTCAATTATTTATGTAATTTATCGACCCCGAGTCTGAAAACATGAACAGGGTTATAAACACTTTTTTTACTATAGCTATATGAACGTAGCTTTTTTTTAAGCAATTTAGAAATATTTAATTAACTTAATGAATTAATTTAATGAACTTAAATAAGACAGTTAGAATATAAAATATTCAGAATGTCTAATAGATTGATTTGAATTACGCGGGTAAGCAAACTGTCGCGGAATGAAAATGAAACGGGGATAGATCTTACGCTCCCACAACCCAGCCTTAAAGCAACTGAGAAGCGCTTCATCAATTAGTTCGAATTTGTACAAGAAATTTACAATATTATAGAGTTTTTCAATTTTATCTTAATTAGTAATAAAATTCTGATTATCAAATCATATTCACTTGTATTAAAGTATCTATCGATTATTCATCATGCCGCGAATCATGATAAAAGGTGGTGTTTGGCGAAATACAGAGGTAAATGAAACTACGCGAGGCTAATTTAACCTTAAAATATTTTAGCATAGATAATCATGCTGTATTATTTTTAATGAATGCTTCTTATAAATACAATATAAATTTCAGGATGAAATACTGAAAGCAGCTGTTATGAAATATGGAAAAAATCAATGGAGTCGGATAGCTTCTTTGTTACATCGCAAATCAGCCAAACAGTGCAAAGCACGATGGTTTGAATGGCTTGATCCCAGTATTAAAAAAACTGAATGGAGTCGAGAAGAAGATGAAAAATTATTACATCTTGCCAAATTGATGCCAACTCAATGGCGTACTATAGCGCCAATTATTGGACGTACAGCAGCCCAATGTTTAGAACGTTATGAATATTTACTCGATCAAGCTCAAAAAAAAGAAGAAGGAGAAGATGGGTCAGATGATCCTCGTAAATTGAAACCGGGTGAAATTGATCCCAATCCAGAAACGAAACCAGCTAGACCAGATCCAAAAGATATGGATGAAGATGAATTAGAAATGTTATCAGAAGCTCGCGCTAGACTTGCAAATACTCAAGGCAAAAAAGCTAAACGTAAAGCCCGTGAAAAACAATTAGAAGAAGCAAGAAGGTTAGCAGCTCTGCAAAAACGAAGGGAGTTGCGTGCTGCTGGTATAACAGCATCTCAAAAAAATAAACGTAAACGAGGAGTAAATTATAATACTGAAATTCCATTTGAAAAACGTCCTGCACCAGGTTTTTATGATACTTCAAACGAACATGTTGATCCATTAGCAGCAGATTTTTCGAGAATGCGGCAACAACATTTAGATGGTGATTTACGAGCAGAAAAAGAAGAAATGGAACGTCGTAAAGACAAACAAAAATTAAAACAACGTAAAGAAAATGATATTCCTATGGGAATGCTCAATAATGATGAACCAATAAAAAAAAGAAGTAAATTAGTCCTACCTGAGCCTCAAATATCAGATCAAGAACTTCAACAAGTTGTAAAACTTGGTAGAGCATCTGAAATTGGTCGTGAAATTGCCACTGAAAGTGGTGTCACAGCGTCTGACAGTTTACTTGCAGATTATTCATTGACACCCAACATTTCAGTAACGCCAGCACGTACACCGGCACCAGCAACTGATCGTGTGCTACAAGAGGCTCAAAATGTCATGGCTCTTACACATGTAGATACACCACTCAAAGGAGGAATAAATACTCCGCTTCATGATGTTGATTTTAACAGTGTAATGCCTACTACAAATGCAATAACAACTCCCAATACTATCTTGACTACTCCTTATCGGTCCCAACGAACAACAGAAAGTGTCACACCATTATTTAATAATTCATTTAATACACCTGGATCAATACGGACTTCAAATGGCGTTGTAACAACTCCAACTCCAATTCGTGATAAATTAAACATTATAGCAGATGAAGGTCTCGATGCTACCGATATATCTAATTTACGAAAGCAAATAAAAAAACAAATGCAAGCAGATTTTAGTACATTGCCAACCGCTAAAAATGATTATCAAATTGTCATACCTACTGAACTAAATGATTCTAATGAAGATACAAGGAACAAGACAATAGAAGATGGAGATGTTGATACTGTTGAAGATCAAGCTGATATTGACGCACGAAAACAACAAGAAATATTAGAACAAAAACAACAAGAGCTTGCACGAAGATCACAAGTTATTCAAAGAGACTTACCAAGACCTGTAGAAGTAAATATGAATATTTTACGTAATTCTATAGATATACCTCTGACCGACTTTCAACGAGCTGAAGAATTAATTAAGCGGGAAATGATAACTATGATGCAGTATGATGCTCTAAAAAATCCAGTCCAACAAAACCACAAACGAACTAACTCAATAATTTCACAAGCTCAAAATTATTTAGATCAGCATCCTTATGAAAGTTTCCAAAAAGATGACTTAGAAAAAGCTAAAAAATTGTTGAATGATGAAATGAGTATTGTAAGAGAAGGTATGGCTCATGGTGAATTAAGTTTAGACGCATATACAACTGTTTGGGAAGAATGTCTATCTCAAATTTTATATCTTGACACTCAAAAAAGATATACAAGAGCTAATTTAGCATCGAAAAAGGATCGAGTTGAAGCTTACGAAAGAAAATTAGAAGAAAATCGTGTTCATATGACAGGTGAAGCAAAACGTGCTGCAAAAATGGAAAAAAAGCTGAAAATTTTAACAGGTGGATATCAAACTCGTGCTCAAGTACTGACAAAACAATTACATGATTATTGGGAGCAAATTGAACAAGCACACGTTGAACTTTCAACATTTAAATTTCTTCAAACTCAAGAAGAAGCAGCTATTCCACGACGTATTAACTCTTTACTAGACGATGTTAACAGACAAACTACTCGAGAAAAGACATTACAAATTCGATTTGCTGAACTACAAGATCAACTTAAACAATTCCAAGTGTAGTTGAAGTATCTATTATAAAACAAAATAACAATAATAATAATGATGATGATAATAATAATAATAATAATAATAATAATAATAATAATAATCGTTGTTGCCATTCAATCTAAATTAAAATTTTTTAATGACGTCTGTATATTCGTATTAGCTATTGCTATTATTATTACTGTTGGTATTGTTATTTGAATCATAACAATTACGTATAACATCTTTATGATGTATTCAATGTTATTTTTATTAAACAAGTAACTTATAAAATAGATATGAAAATCATTATTATAGGCAATACCTAATTTACAGTTAATTTCATATTTTATTGTCTCCTAGTCATTTTTATCAAATTAATATCAATACTAGAATATATTGGATGTTGTTCAGATTGAGAAATAACATTTAGGTGAAAATAATTTTTAACATTATCTAAAAAATATTGCCAAATAGATATTTGTCGAGGTGTATCTCTCAATTCTTGAGATAAAAGTACATATGCTGCTGATTCGTTATCACATATCCTTTTTAATGTCATAATTAATGGATCAATTGACTAAAAACATGAATAATAAATAATATATCTGCTTCTTATAAACACAAATGATATTGAAAAATTAGTAACTCTATTACTTCCATATAGTATATACAATCAGATAGAATGATAATCTCAGGACTAAATTTTTTTAATGAATCAAATATCGATTCATCTTCCCATTTCATTATTTGAGCGTTAACTGAGCCATTAGTATCTTTCCATTGACTTTTATTCATCATAATATTTTTCTCCAACATTGGCATAGTACTTTCTAGATCAGTTACCATCACTTGAGCTCTATAAATAAATAGAAATAGATTTGTGAGCAAAGATAATTATTAAAATTACTCAAATTACAGACAAATTGTTTACCCCAAACATGCTACTGTCATTCCAACACATCCAACTCCCGCACCAAGCTCCAAAATTTTTTTTCCTTGTAACCAATTTTTTTCTTTCTGACATGAAATATCTAAATATTTTGCTAAAACAAGTGCAGCATCCCATACAACACAATTAACATCACCAACATTTTTTTGATACAATGTTAATGTTTTTCCGCAACTTTCTATTTCAAGTGTTCGTGTAAATATATCATCATGTTCCATAATGGTATTCTAAATGATAAAAAACTTGTATTGAGAAAATTGAGAATATTTTCAAAATTACAGAATAAAAAAAAAATTATTCGTATTTTATTAATTATTCATTTTTCGATTCTTGAATGATACAAAAAAAACCTTAAGGCTAGGCTCATGGAGAATATAATAAGGAGGCCGAGCTCAGGGATAGGATTTTGTTACTATAGTCGGACTGAGAAGAGAGTTCCTCAGATATTCTTCATGTGTCTTGTATAGAGATGTGAATCGGTAATTGACGGGTAAATTTACCGTAAATTACCGGTAAAAAACGCGTCAATGACCAAGCCTGTTTTACCATACCGGTCAGAAAAATGCTGATCTCTGATTGGTTAATACATGTCCAATCACAGTTTAGAATTCCCAACGGCATACAACTGTTTATTTGTTCTATCAGGTATATATTTTCATTTTTATTTGTTTATTAAAAATACTGATAATATTTAATATAAGAAAATTCAATTTGTAGATAAGGATTTTCATTAAGAACTTGGTGCAATGGGGGAGAACAAATCAATATATAAACATTTCTCTGCATTACCTCTGCAACCTAACCAAAAATCGTATTCATGTAACTATTGCAAGAAAAAGTATGCAGAAAACATTACTCGCATGCGAAAACATCTTTATAAAGAGTGTAGAAGTTGTCCTCAAGACTTACGGAAACTTTTAAAACCATGTAAACCTCGTAAACGAAATAATTCTCATCTAAACAGCACAGACGACTCATTTACTATTGAAGATTTGAATGAAGCAGACAATAGAGCAAGTACTTCAATGATTTCAAATGAAAATTTACCAAATAATATAAGTGTTTGTAGCAATAACTATAAAAAAAATACAATCGATAGTTTTTGTGATAAAATGTCAAAAAAAGATGAAGATTCTCTACAAGAACTACTTGCAGAAGCGATTTATGCATCTGGTACACCATTATGTATAACAGAAAATCCATATTGGCTAAAATTTTTTAACGCATTACGGCCTTCATTTAATTTGCCATCAAGAAATCACTTCAGCATGTCAATGGTGGCAAAGTATTTGCCAAAAATCTTCGTTGAGCAAAATAGCTGTGGCTATATTGACTTTACCTGCAACATCAGCTGCAACCGAGCGTTCCTTTAGTACACAAGGATGGATTCATTCATCTAAAAGAAATAAGTTAAGTATCGATAGAGCTGGAAAAATAACATACATTGCAAGAAATTTAAAATTACTTAATCCTTCACCAAAAAATACAGAAGAAGAATGGGAAGAAGATGAGGAAAGTAATAAAGGAGAGGATGAAATAAGTGAAATTTGTGCTGAGCATGAAGAAGTTGAATTTTTAGAAGAAGAATTTACTCAAGACTAATTAGTGATGTTGATGGAATTGAATCAGTATTAGACTTGTTATTTCCTAATGAAATATGTCAATTATTATGTGATATTACTAGTTGATAGAAACTATAGATTATATGGTTTTATTTTTTCATAAATAATTTACATAAAAGTTAAAAAAGTCAAATTCTTTATAATATGTAATAACGAAGGATTATCTATTTTATAAAAAAAAATGTACCAAAAACTTAACTAAATAAACGTTTATAATAATTTTCAATATATTTATTATTTCTGTCCTAACAGTCAAAAATGTAAAATATTTTTTTTATTACAAATTACAAAATTTTTTTTTCATCTTATAATAATTAATTAGTTTTAAATTAACAAGTGCAAAAAGCAAAATTAACATAAGCAAATTGGCAAGCAAGTTCGAAAGCAAGCCATTTCCTCGGTAAAAAGCTCATCATATTCATCTATATAGATGCGAATGACCGGTAATTTACGGTAATTACGCTGACCGACGGCTTGACGGTAAATTTTACATTCAGAATTTTTTGACGTCAGAATACCGTCAGATACCGGTAATTTTACGTGGTAATTACCGAATTTTCTATTACCGGTAAATTCACATCTCTAGTCTTGTACGCTTGCGCAGTAGTAAAAAACATGGTAGTAGGGGTAAGAAATCAGTGGTGGAGAGCCCGAAAGCATTGGAGCAACTAAAAAACTGAGCGTTTTCCATTTAGAAAAAAAAGTCGACACAGTGCAACACAGTGTGACCAAAGAATACAGACCCATAGAAGCCCAGGGCAATAGGATTTAATGTCGCAGTAGAACGCTCAGTACTAACTGCGACCACAGATGTCGCAGCAGTCCAAATGAGTAGGCTGCAGATGGAATGGCCAGCAGTCGTTGACCAAACGTCAACCGAACCAGTACTGAGTCAGTATGTAGATGAATGTTTGAATTTTTAGGTGATTTAGATAGCAGAAAACATTGATAACATGGATGAAAAAATTCATTAAAGAAACAACGAGGTAAACAATAAATCAGAGCCAGGTTACATATCCGAAATTCTCGAATATTTCCAATTAGCATATCGCATTGTAAAAAATGCAAATTTCGAATAAATGACAATGGAACATGATTTTTTCATCGTTCATAATTGAGAATTTTTTTAATTATCAACATTGAAAGATAAAAAATGGCAAAATTATACAAAATAGTTTAATGTATAATTCTGCATGATTAAAATATCGAAAAGCCGCGAATCAAGCTCGCGGGCAATCATAAGAGCGTCCATTTTAGGGGAAAAAGTGCTTAAAACATAACTTTTCCATCTTTTAAAGTTAATTACTTTGCCAATTATCAAGATTAAGGAATGAAAATTAGCAGGATAGTACAAAATAGTATAATGTATAATTCTGCATAATTAAAATATCGAAAGGCCGCGAATCAAGCTCGCGGGCAGTTATGAGAGCGTCCATTTTAGGGGAAAAAGTGCTTAAAACATAACTTTTCCATCTTTTAAAATTAATTACTTTCTCAATTTTTAAGATTAAGGAATAAAAATCAGCAGAATTATACAAAATAGTTTAATGTATAATTCTGCATGATTAAAATATCGAAAAGCCGCGAATCAAGGTCGCGGGCAATTATAAGAGCGTCCATTTTGGGGAAAAAGTGCTCAAAACATAACTTTTCCATCTTTTAAAATTAATTACTTTCTCAATTATTAAGATTAAGGAATAAAAATTAGCAGAATAGTACAAAATAGTATAATGTATAACTCTGCATAATTAAAATATCGAAAAGCCGCGAATCAAGGTCGCGGGCAATTATAAGAGCGTCCATTTTGGGGAAAAAGTGCTCAAAACATAACTTTTCCATCTTTTAAAATTAATTACTTTTTTAATTTTTAAGATTTAGGAATAAAAATCAGCAGAATTATACAAAATAGTTTAATGTATAATTCTGCATAATTAAAATATCGAAAAGCCGCGAATCAAGCTCGCGGGCAATTATGAGAGCGCCCATTGTAAGGGAAAAAGGTGCTTAAAACATAAATTTTCCATCTTTTAAAATTAATTACTTTTTTAATTTTCAAGATTTAGGAATAAAAATCAGCAGAATTATACAAAATAGTTTAATGTATAATTCTGCATAATTAAAATATCGAAAAGCCGCGAATCAAGCTCGCGGGCAATTATGAGAGCGTCGATTGTAAGGGAAAAAGTGCTTAAAACATAACTTTTCCATCTTTTAAAATTAATTACTTTGCCAATTATCAAGATTAAGGAATGAAAATTAGCAGGATAGTACAAAATAGTATAATGTATAATTCTGCATAATTAAAATATCGAAAAGCCGCGAATCAAGGTCGCGGGAAATTATAAGAGCGCCCATTGTAAGGGAAAAAGGTGCTTAAAACATAAATTTTCCATCTTTTAAAATTAATTACTTTTTTAATTTTTAAGATTTAGGAATAAAAATCAGCAGAATTATACAAAATAGTTTAATGTATAATTCTGCATAATTAAAATATCGAAAAGCCGCGAATCAAGCTCGCGGGCAATTATGAGAGCGCCCATTGTAAGGGAAAAAGGTGCTTAAAACATAAATTTTCCATCTTTTAAAATTAATTACTTTTTTAATTTTCAAGATTTAGGAATAAAAATCAGCAGAATTATACAAAATAGTTTAATGTATAATTCTGCATAATTAAAATATCGAAAAGCCGCGAATCAAGCTCGCGGGCAATTATGAGAGCGTCGATTGTAAGGGAAAAAGTGCTTAAAACATAACTTTTCCATCTTTTAAAATTAATTACTTTGCCAATTATCAAGATTAAGGAATGAAAATTAGCAGGATAGTACAAAATAGTATAATGTATGATTCTGCATGATTAAAATATCGAAAAGCCGCGAATCAAGCTCGCGGGCAGTTATGAGAGCGTCCATTTTAGGGGAAAAAGTGCTTAAAACATAACTTTTCATCTTTTAAAGTTAATTACTTTGCCAATTATCAAGATTAAGGAATGAAAATTAGCAGGATAGTACAAAATAGTATAATGTATAATTCTGCGTAATTAAAATATCGAAAAGCCGCGAATCAAGCTCGCGGGCAGTTATGAGAGCGTCCATTTTAGGGGAAAAAGTGCTTAAAACATAACTTTTCCATCTTTTAAAATTAATTACTTTCTCAATTTTTAAGATTAAGGAATAAAAATCAGCAGAATTATACAAAATAGTTTAATGTATAATTCTGCATGATTAAAATATCGAAAAGCCGCGAATCAAGCTCGCGGGCAGTTATGAGAGCGTCCATTTTAGGGGAAAAAGTGCTTAAAACATAACTTTTCCATCTTTTGAAGTTAATTACTTTGCCAATTATCAAGATTAAGGAATGAAAATTAGCAGGATAGTACAAAATAGTATAATGTATAATTCTGCGTAATTAAAATATCGAAAGGCCGCGAATCAAGCTCGCGGGCAGTTATGAGAGCGTCGATTGTAAGGGAAAAAGTGCTTAAAACATAACTTTTCCATCTTTTAAAATTAATTACTTTGCCAATTATCAAGATTAAGGAATGAAAATTAGCAGGATAGTACAAAATAGTATAATGTATGATTCTGCATGATTAAAATATCGAAAAGCCGCGAATCAAGCTCGCGGGCAGTTATGAGAGCGTCCATTTTAGGGGAAAAAGTGCTTAAAACATAACTTTTCATCTTTTAAAGTTAATTACTTTGCCAATTATCAAGATTAAGGAATAAAAATCAGCAGAATTATACAAAATAGTTTAATGTATAATTCTGCATGATTAAAATATC